GGAGAGTACAAGCCGTGTACTTTAGGTATTAACTTTTAATAGGCAAAGTTCTCTTTATTGAAGTTGAAATGAGGTTTAGTCATTCTAGATCTCTTATTCCCTTTGAATATGTCATTTAAAAATAAGCATGGTCACATTGTTGGGGGGGTGGAGACCAGAAGTGGGGTGACATTTTAATAGACTATCGTAACTGTTGTTTACAATATCAGTCTTGGGAACCAGCAAATTATTTTTTTCTGATCATTTTCTACTGACTGAAATCAAAAAGTATATACAACCCAAGGAACTAGAATGTTCTAGAAAAATACTCTGTAGGGTTAGTTCCTTAGTTTCTTTTCTGATGTGGGTGTGGTTGAAAGAAAATCATTGTTCCGGGAACACTTGTTTGTCTTTTGCTAAACAAATGTGCAATTTACCCATTCTTTGTTCATTCTTAGATTTATCTGCTAGAACTCTTGTGAAACAGAAAGGGGAAACTGCATGGCGTTTAGTGATGGCCCTTGTTTCATGTACCAGAGTATTTATGAGTCTAGGGAAGCAGGAAGGGGCGATGGGCTAGCTGCAGGATTTCAGAAAGACTTCTTAAAGGGACTGTTTGCCTTTATTGGTTTCTCACTGTCCTGTTGCGAAAGAAAACACAACAGCCAGCCATTGAACAGTTTAATATTCTGTGGCTGTGTCAGAAGGAAGCTGGTTTAATGTATAGGCTTAGGAAGCAGTTAAGGGATCACACAACTTAAGATCTGCAAGCTCTTGCACAGTCTCTCTTCCATACTGTTTTATATGGTCTTCCTGTCTCTCCTTCCCATTCTGTCTCCTCTAGCCTACCTGGCAGTCTCTATAAGGGTCTGAGGGTCTCCTGGGCTTTCCATGGTTTTATAAATATGAAAAGCAACTCCTCTGGGAATGTCTAATTACAAGTTTGGAAATTTGCCCGCATCCAAACAATGCCAAAATTCTGGTCCAAATGGGTGGTTCTGTCCATAAGCACCGGAGTTAGCATAATTTTTGTTTTGGCTTCGCCAAGGGTTGCCACATTAGATCAGGCCCCAGCTGTGCCTTTGGCCTCCTGGTGTAGAAAGAGTTTAATGAGGGAATGGGGGACAAGAGTGTTAGGCTGGCAAATGTACGATTTGGGCTTCTTCTATCTCATGGGTAGGAAGTTGTTACGTGAAAATCATAACGATAATTTAAGTGTTTACAGTGAGCGTTATAGGCCCTCGAGTCATACACTCGAAATAATTAACCAAGTGAAATTATTAACCAGAGTGGAATAATTCTGACTCATAGGGTGGGTAGAGTCTCAGGTTTTACCTGACCAAAGCTTACTATCTTCACCCTGACACTATAAATCAGTTACTACTAATAATTTGAGGCATTTTGTCATACTGCAAAGTTAGTCAAACAAGAGTTACAAGATTAAAAGTTCGGGTTAAAGCCTCCTTCCGTCACTTCCAACGTCATGGAGGTCCCTGCCTAGTCACCCGGCTGGCAACCTCAGTTTCACCACCTCTGTATTGGGGAACGTTCACAAATTGTAGCATTGTTTACGGGGTTTTTGTGAGGAACATACATTTTGTTATTTCAGGATTTTCCTAAATTGTAGTATTTTTCTCTCAGTACTGGAAATGGCATTAGAGCGCTCTCTTTTCCTGAACACACCAACTAGCTGTACCGGGTCCTCTGTGTTTTTTGGTGATGGTCTTGTCTCTGTTAGCTTGTTTTAATTTGGTTGGTGTCCTCTGTGTTACCTACCAACAATCACAGAAAAGTAGCAGAGGCCAGTGAACTTAATCCTGGATTTTATTCTAAGCACTAATAGATTGGAGAAGAGAAATAAAAATAAACACAAGTATCTGACTGTTTATATATATATATATATATGATGACTACATAGATTAATATATGTGCACTTGTATGTTGTACCATATAATGTTAATATAGCAACAAATGTCATACATAATGTATTATATTAATATAGTATGGTATACATGTATAATATACATTTTAAATACATGGCATATATTATGTATAAGTCATAAATACATATGTAGCATATAAATATAAATCTTTTAAGTATTACATATACTTAAATATACATATAAATACATGTATTTTAAAACCCAAACTAAATAAGTCACTGTAAATCTATGCTAAAAAAAAAAAAAAGAAAAGAAAATCAGAATTACTTGCTTGGAAGTGTAGAGTTCAAGAACTAGGCCGAGTGCTTGTTAAAAATATAAATTCCTGTATTCCGATCTTAGAGAAACTGAGTCAATCATTTTGGTTGGCACCCTGAGTCCAACCCTCCTCAGGTACCCCATGAGATCTTGGATAGCATTCCCAGGACAACCCCAAGCAACACTGTTCCCAGATGCAGTGGACATCCTTAGGGCACCTTCCTATGAAGCGGGAGGAGAGTGAACATACTTGTGCTCTTCCAAAAACTACGAGAAGGAGTCAGAAACTGTGAGGAGGGCAGAGTAGGTGTTGGGAAATAGGGCGACGTACAGAGAGCCAAAGGAGGCCATGTTTCAGCACTGAAGCTTGCTAGAGAGATGACGCTATCCCAAACAGAGAATCACATAAAGGGCAGAGGGAGCATCATCATGAAAAAGTACTCAAAGAGCTGGCTGGTGGTGGCGCACACCTTTAATCCCAGCACTCGGGAGGTAGAAGCAGGCAGATCTCTGTGAGTTCAAGGCCAGCCTCGTCTACAGAGTGAGTTCCAGGACAGCTGAAGCGACGCAAAAAAAGAAACCCTGCCTCGGAAAACAAACACCAACAACAAAAGTCCTCAAAGAAAATCGAGAGAATGACGGGTAGAACAGCAGTGAAGTGGACCCTCGACCCAGGTGGTTTCTCCCAGGACACCAACTCAGTAACAACTCTTCCTTAACTTCCTTTCTCTGGAAAGCACAGCATCTTCCATTTTATTTCTAAAACTCTTAGAAAAACTGGTATGATTTTCTTGTCTTCACAGAAGCCAAAGGCCCTACCAGAGCAGACTCGGGAGATGAGAGGTGTTTGCACAGGGTTTTCTGTGTACAGAAAAGTGGTGTAGGTATTGAGCATGCTCAACAGAGTGAGCTCTGGCAGGTTCTGGCTGTATTCTCCGGGATTTGCATCTTTAACAAATAAGGTGTAGAGATATAAATAGGATTTGGTACCAATGGTGCATGGAGGCTACTCTTTGGGACAGTACATACATATTGGGGGCTTCCGACAGTGGGAGCTTATGTAACAAATATATCTATCAATGTAGCGTTTGTACTTAGTGTCTTAGTCTACTATAGGAATCTCAACTTGCTGTCACGGCCCGCCTGTCAGTACCTCAGGACTAGTTTTCATTGGTAGCCTTCTCTTCCATGTAAACACACTGCCTTCTAAGTGTGCCAGCTGCTAACGTGGCTTCCCACAAACCAGGCAGGAGTCTAAGAAGTGCAAGCCATTTGAAGACATCATGCTAGAAGCAGCTGAGCACCTCCTTTCCTGGAGAAGCCTCCAGCCTGAAGAGCTAAGTGAGCGTAATTAGAGATACATCTGCAAGTCAGCCTCCTATCTGCAAAGGTCACATGCACACCTTGCATCCATCCTGGTTATGTTCCATCATTACGTTCTATCCCAATTCATCTCCCACTGGTTACCAGATGGCCACAATAAAGTCAGTATCCTTAACAACTGTTTCATGCCGTTCTCTGAAGTACAATAAGGGCTCAAAATAGTGAGTGTTTTCCCGTTGGACATACAAATGACAAATCTGGGAACTGCTGACTGGCATGATGGTGGCGTGGGTCATGAAACCCAAGTTCAGTTTGGCATGGTTGCAGGTAACAGACTACCAAAGGGGGCACTTGCCATTTCTCAAGCTTAAAATGAATGAAGGATTTATCCTTGTTGAATCTGGGTTTTGCAACTATTCGCAAAACATAGTGAGTTGGCAGTAGGCATCATGATCATTTAAAAGGAAGATTGATGTTTTCTGCAATGATCTGAGTTAAGACGGTCCGAATGGGACTGTCTCTCGAGGATGTTTGGGGAGCCTGTCAGCATGGTTCTCTGGGGTGTGCCAGGCTACCAGGTGGATTTGAGAAACATCAAAAGATGAGGGTGGGGTGGGTGTAAGGGGGCATGGAGAAGATGGTGGTATCAATCAAGTTGGGGTAAATCATACTGTAATAACAAATGATCATTATAAACAATGTGGGCATCATTTCTGCTGTGTTTGCACCTATTTTGGATCAACCAGGGACTTTGCACCATGCTGTTTTAACTCCAAGACCCAGACTGGCAGAGGAGCTGCTGTCTGAGCATTACAGATGGCCAGAACAAAGACAAAGAGACACTGTGGTCCATGGCACACTGGCTCTAAAGCAGCCGCAACTTCTGTCATATTCATTGGCCAAGAACAAGTCCAGGCCCTCCTGGACTCCCAACAGTGGGAAGTGCAGCCTTTCTCCAGGCCCATAAAGAGAACACAAAATATTTGTTGAGCCACAGAGCAGGTAGCAATACTCCTTAGACCTATGGATGCTTCTCCCGGGTCCAACCATTTTTGCCAACACTAAGCATGCTCGCACATGTGCTCGCACAAAATGTGTAATCACTCTAAGCCAAGCAATGATTCTAAAGAAACTCATCAAAGTTTTCCTATCATGGTGACACCAACGGCTGAAAAAAAAAAACATTGAAATCTCTGAAAGGAGTTTTTAAGTTTGACTGTCCTCAAATAACACAAGCATCACCTAATATGTATGTCCGTGGGACCACAAAGTGGTTATACTCAGGGCTGGCCTCAGGTTTCCAGGGTGGGGAGCTGAGTTGGGAAGGGGGATTCTAGAAGATTCTGACATTGCCAGACCATGATAAAGAAAAGGGCTTTGCTGAAGAAGACATCTCTAGTCCCAAAGCAAAAGTGACCATTGAAATTAAGTCATGGCCGCGAAAGTTCTCTTTGTTGGTGGGAAGAAGGTAATGGATGTGTTTTCTTTTCCGTCTAGGGGAAGATGAGGAAGAAACCAATGTGATCGTGCTCAGCTACCCTCAGTACTGTCGGTACCGTTCCATGCTCAAACGGATCCAGGATAAGCCATCTTCCATCCTCACGGACCAGTTTGCGCTCGCCCTGGGGGGCATCGCAATGGTCAGCAGAAACCCCCAGATCCTGTACTGTCGGGATACCTTTGAGCACCCTACTCTCATAGAAAACGAGAGTATATGCGATGAGTTTGGTGAGTGTCTGTCTTTTACTCTACTTGAAACTTGCTCCTGCGGGTAGCCATTTTCAGATCTCGGAGTGAGCGGGCCTGGGAAGCAGGGCTTGCCTTGCCACATGGCTCCACCCAGGCCCCATATTATTACAGCACAAGGTGTCCTCAGGTTGCTGGTAGCCACTGTTTACCACAGGAGAAAGATGATTATTTTGTGTTTGTTGTTCAATATACAATTGGAAGGTGCTTGGTGGAGCTTGAAGGTGGACTTTCAGATCGGATGCTTTCGTGTTCTTCCTGAGAGGGCTTCGGTTATTTAAATATTGGTTTTTAAATTTTCTAATTTCATAAGGTACTATAAGAATGCATAAATTATTCAATACTATAAGGTAGACAGAGATGAAAGATTGATTGATGGAATGTTAGTAGATAGATAGATAGATAGATAGATAGATAGATAGATAGATAGATAGATGATACATACATACATACATACATACATACATACATGAGTTGAAGATGTGCCCTGTCCTTTAAATTTTCACACACACACACTGAATCCTGGCCTAGCTGACCAGTCACACGTCTTCTCACCAGAGGGGCTGCCAGTCACCATAGCTCACCTTGGGAAACCTTGCAATGTGCATTATCAGTGAGGGCAAGCTGTCATATCTTGCCTTCTGTATCCATTTGTTGAAGAAATCACAGCATGTCCGACGTTCTCCATTGGGTGGGTTTTCCTATACATACAGAGATATGGACACCCCCACTTCTCTTGAAATCACCTTCCTGGGTGGTAGGAAGGTACCCTGTTCAATTCATCAGGAGGCCCAAGGAGGAAAAGAGGTTCAGGACTTGAAAGTACATACATAGACTTTCTTCATGCTGGTGTCATCACTGATTCCATTGGCTTACATTGTCCCCAAGGAGACCTCATTTGCAAAATATTCAAGTCCAGATTGTTCCAATTAGCTCTGAGATACCTCTACATGGTTTTGTGACTCTACTGTGGCCTCTCAAATTTGACAGTCTGTGCCTTCGGGAGCTCGTAGGCTACCACCGAGGACTTTGGATGTAGACGTGTGAACAGCAGAGGATCTAGGGTGAAGGGATGGAATCTGACGGTCTGAGGAGGAAGATAAGTAGAAGGACAACAACAAGATGTAAACTCTTTGGAGTCCAAAGGCAGAGACTATGTGAGAGTGGGTGTGTACATGTCATGTGGTGGGTGTGTGCATGTGTGGGGGGTTAGATTTTCCTTCTACACAGAAGTACACATGGTCCTATTTTTAATAGTCAAATCGCCTTTTCATTAAAACAGATCAATGCATCCAATACAATTATTAAGTACCCTTTCCTTTCAGATGAGCATTTACAGATCTGCCTTCTTCATTATTTGAGAGAGAGAGGAAAAAATTCACCCACGTTCCTTGCTCCTAAGCCCCATGTTTTACCAGCTAATCCAAAGGTCTCTAGGTTCCTAACACTGAATAAAGCCGAGAGAATGTTTTCCCCTACTTAAAAGCATTCAAAGTTAGTGTTTAACAATGTAATATAATGAAAAAAATGCTTTAACCTTTTTTGACTAATTTAGGAATTATTAGTCACTGAGTTCCAAAGCTGTTCTGTCTAGAGCTGGAAAACAGACGTTCCTATCCAACAATGATCAGTGGTTGCTGGAGCATTCCTAAAGGAATTTTAAATGTTCTTGCAAACACAAGCGTCTCCGTGTGAATGTGCTCCTGAACTTTCTTTTGGCATACCTCATTTTAATTCTGCCTTTCTTCTCCAGTCTCTGGAAGCAGAAAATTTCTTTTGGAATAAAGGCACTTTAAAGAGCTTCTAGAAGGCAAATTCAATGATGAGACCATCATCAGATTGTTAGCTTGCGCCTCAGAGGGTTTCCTCTTTTGAAAGTAGTTCATGCTAACACACAGGCCATGCAGCATATCTTGAGTCCATTGGAGCACTTTCATCCATATGTGTCCCCTCCCCCTCCTTAGGTACACATCTAAATTTCCAGACAATGATATTTTAAACCCCCCAACTGGTAATATGTGAAATTGACATGGGTTAAAGTATTTGTTAAAAACATGGTATTGGGTTTCTCCAACCAACTAACAGTTGGTAGAACATAAATTTAATTAATGACTAGCATTAAACAAATGGTCCTAAGACTGAGGACTGCCAGATGACTGAAGCATTCTGTCAGATAACCAGGGGGCCAGGGGGGCAAGGGGCCAGGGGGCCAGGGGGCCCACAGATGAGTCTTCTATGCAGCATATACTCTGTGCCACACATTCGATGACTTCAGTAACTGGTCAAATATAATTTAGGTAACAGTATGCCTAGGTTATAAAAATCAGATTTTAGTAGTCATATCACCAGGCGGATGAATTGTGGGGCTGATGGCAAAGAATTTACAGCATTTAACAACTGCGTCTTTGATACAAGGAATTCCAAATCGCCATAACATCCCTCGAAGTTTCTTCTCCAAAAGCCAGTATCTGATTTTCTACGCCTGATGATATTTAGTTTATTAACAGACACGTTGCTTTCTCCTATGACATAGGCAATAGAAGGGATACAGAAGGAAGAAATAAAATCTGGTCCTTGTTTGCTTTGAGGATTAAGGAAAGCCTTACAATAGCATTAGAACTCGGTCTGGTTTTTTTTTTTTTCTCTCTCTCTGTGTGGGTGCATGTTTGTATGTGCGGGTACACATGCATGTGGGCACATGTAGAAGCCAGTAGACAACCTAACCTCAGGTGTCATTTCTGCAACTCCTGCCACCTTTTTGTTTGGGACAGGGTCTCTCATTGGTATGGGACATGCCCCAGTAGGTTAGGCTAGCTGGGAGGCAAGCGCCCAGGAATTGTCCTGTCTCTACCTACCCAGGACCGGGCTTACAGGCATACTCCACTGTGCTGGGCGCATCGCAAGTATACTGCATATCTACCAACAGAGCCGTCTCCCTAAACCTTCCTTGGTCTCGTTTTAAAAGATGGAGGTCTGTGTTTTAGAAACCTGTTAGAAAAAAAAATGTAGATTGTTGGCAATTCCGTCCCCAAGTCTCTATTGGCTGGAGTCTACCATTCTCTCTCTTAAGTCTTTCTGGTCATAGTCAACCTTAGGGTGGGTTGTAAGAAGACATGAATATGTGAGCGGGTAGCCAAACTGGGAAGAAGCCAGCCAGTGGCTTTGAAACAGGAATGAGCTCTTTTGAACAGAGATGAGCCCACATTTTCTCTGGGATCCACTAACATGGCTACCTGCATAACCAAAACACGCCTCTGAAGGGAACCTTGGCTTTGTGGCACAGCCTTGCCCACCGCCAAGCGGCTTGGCCCCCTCCCTGCTCCCCTAATGTTGTCCACTGAATAACAGCTTTAATTGAACAATAAAAGTAAGCCTTTTAAATCTACAACCAGTCCCTATAAATAAATTCTCTGTGGAATTTTATGAAGCCGCTTAATGAAAAGTTTGATTAGAAACTATTAAAGAAAAATAAAATAGATGAAATTTCATCATTTAATCCAACATTACAGTAGTGTCATTTTGATTTTTATTTACATTGAGATATTCCGAATCGAGTAAATATATCCTGGTTTTAATTAACTATCCTCCTTACTTGGGAAGGTTATTTTAGGCTTGAAGGGTTTTGATAACACGCCATCTGCTTTCTTCTCTGTATTATGCAAGTCCCTTCCTTGCTGACAGTGCTGTGTAATGTCTAAACCTATGACTTGAGCATAAATTGAATCATATTAATGGTAAGTGATTGAAGAGCTTCAGCCCCCACATCCTGCCCATATTCTTCTATCTTGTCACTCACGCTGCTCTGTTGGCAGTGGGCTTTCTTAGCACAAGATAATTAACTTTAAAAAAAAATAACACATTGGACTCCCCATTGAAGAAGTATAAAAATTCATTGTATGGCACACACAATTAGGAAATGAGATTTTAATAACAATGAGGGGAGCGTGACATGAATGGCATTTTGTTTTCTTCATAAAAAAAATCTTTGCCACCAGCGTGGTTCCTGGGCCTACTGTCCTGGAGCAATCTCCCAACACAGGCATTCTCCCAACAGCTCCACTTCCTTCTCTTACCTGGTTATGTAATGATTCCCGTTGTATAAAATGGACTCTGGCATTTATATTACGTGTGCTAGAGAGGAAAACCACGTGGGCAAAAATTTTGTCTCTTCTTCGCAGTTAGGACAATAAAAGGTCCACCGCGTTGTAACGCACGGTGTTTACAGTAATGTCCTACCAATTGATTTCACATGTGTGGAGTGTTGACAAACTAAATTCAAACAGAGGCATGCACAGTGCAACAGAGGAATGGAAAACTTTAAGGTACCAGCTCCTATCCGAGAAGTGCAAGCCTAGCCCCATTTACATAAACAAGAAGTCTTTAAAAGTAGGTAGGATTAAATGTCTTTAGATGTGGTTCAGTGTGTGTGTGTGTGTGTGTGTGTGTGTGTGTGTGTGTGTGTGTGTGTGTGTTTTGAATTGCAGAGACATGGGAAGCAGAAGTCAGGCTTTTAAGTTTTTCTGGCAGTTGGGGTGTTTGTGTGTTTGTTGACAAGGGAGTGGAGCAGAGGGAAGTATGACTTTGGTCAACCACATGCGAAGCAGAGATGAGACGGGCTGTCATCAGGTATTTCATCCTTGTGGAGACACTGTGAGCTCTGGTCTGCAGGGAGAGGAGCTTGGCTGTTTTTATACTAAGACACACATTTCACTGGGGATAGGGTGTAGAAAAGGACTGCAAAAATGTAGTTAAAAAAAAAAGAGTGCTAAACTCACATGCAAAGAGATCAAGTGTAAATCGGGGCTCAACCATCTGATTCTCTAAGGCAGATGCCATGAGGCCCCTTATTTGTTCCATCTGTAAAATCAGGCAATCACAGACATCATCATGTTAGGTTCAGAGTAAATCAGTCTGGTTGCTTACACACACACACACACACACACACACATACACACACACACACACACACACACACACACACA